AAGTGTATAAATTAATTGTCATGCAGAATTGATTTGAAATAATCTCACAAGACCTGATACTCATTCTGGGTAATTAGACAATAAGAGGGACACTAGATTTTGCAAATCCCCAGTTGAATTTGTTTTAGCTTGAGAGGTCATTTGCATGCAAGCAGTCCTCAGGGTCCTAAGTCCATTTTAACATGAAAACATCACACAGCTCTATTTTTAAACAAGGCATTTCCATTCCTTTGTATGACTAAAAATTCTGAAATCTGAGAAGAAAACAAACCAGCAGTTAGCTACAGTGTGACAGTCACTGTTATTTAAATGTTTAAATAGCATCCTGTGGTGCTGCTGATCAGTGGCATCTGGCTGGTGCCCTGTACTGAACCAAGGGCACCTCTGAGAGGAGAAGGACTGTAAGGAGGCATCACATGTAAAGAAAAAATGTTAATGAAGACAAATTTCAGCTTAATCTTCCAAGTAGAAAGGGTTATGTCTGTAGAAGAAAATGGCTCATTTGTAAACTCTATAAACCATATGACTGCTCAGGAGTGAATACAGTCACATTTTGGACCAAGCTGACTTAATTGCTCAGTTAAAAGAAAAACATAATATTTAATGTGAAATTGAAATATTGCATGAGATGGCTTCATATTCTAGGAGTCCCTAAATTATGTCCCTATGTGTGTTGCTATTCCTCAATAAAACCTGTCAGTTCTCTTAAGCATTTTCTCCACAAACCTGATATTTAGATTTAACAACAAAACTAAAAAAAATCCCATAAAATAGCTAGAAAATAACCTAACAATACAAAACTCTTCACCTTAGGGGCATGAAGGAGCTGTCTTTTGTCTGCTCATCAGATTGAAAATTCAGGATGTGTATTATCACTAGATCTCTCCTTTAGGACTCCAGTAATCACTTCAATTTTGTGTCAGACAGGCATATTTAGTGATTTTATAAAATGCTGGCTAGAAGTAAAATAACACAATACACCAAGGTATGAGGAAGAAAATATATAGCTCCTTTAATTCATAAATAACAGGAATGCAGCCATGTAAAACCTATTGCTATCAAAGACCACTTCCATATAGGATCAATCCTTATACATCTTTGGGGAAAATATATACATATTTATGAATTACATATTTAGAAACTGTCATGGCAACAAAGCCAATACAAAAAAACATCCCACAAAAACCTTCTGAACTTTGTGACTAAAAATGAAAACCAGCTAAATGATTTTATCCATCACAAATAATTTTGCTTATGTGTTTGTCATGTGCAAGTCTTAAGATCAGTGCTCTTATACCAGCCTAAACAAAAGACCTAGAGGGAGGCATCAAGCCACCTCTCTGCTTCATTGCCTGAGGCCACACCTGTGCCTGGCCAACTTTTCTGTACAAATTTTAACATCCTGAAGGCTGCTCTAATTTATAGCAGTTGGTGAGGTTCCAAAGGAGCTGCCTTTGTGGCCATAGCTGACAGGGGATCAGAAATGCATCAGTCATGGCTCCAAGCTGACACTGGCACCAAGACAGAATACAGCTTTTCCTGGCTCTTTGCTAGAAGGTATCCCACCCACCCCAATTTTAGAAAAATATCAGGTATCAGAGAGGTGAAAAGTATTCCTGATGGCAATATTTCTGGAGTTTTCTATTTTAGCTTGTTTATAAACCTATACAAGCAATTACAGTATGCATTAAATATGCTCATTAACATGCAGATAGGTAAAATATACACTGTTAAGGAGAAAACAGCTGGATCCTGAGACAGGAGAAAGAAATTTTTAAAATATTTTTGTATTTTTCTTTCACAACGTGCAATATTGAAATTTCAGTTTGCTATTTATTTCACTTAATTTCTCATCATCAATCTGTGTTCTATGAAAACAATTTCTGTGTAACATTAAATGGTTCTTCCTTTTTTTCCATGGAGATAAACATATAAGATATAATTAGAGGATTTCTTCTGTTGCAAACAGTCATACTTTACACCTTTTTAACTCGTGCCCACTAGGTAGTGATTTTCTCTCTTACCCATGGGTTACTCTCTTTCAAATCCATCATTCCCAACTACTCATTTGGTGGAGCACAGAAAGCTTTTTCAATCACTCCTTCTTGCTGACCATGCACATGAGGTTGCGGAACTCAGCCTTGTCATCACAAGACATTTGTTTTGGTACAGTTTTATTGTACATTTAAAATAATGCAGTTATGACCTTAAATGCAGATGTTTTGCTTTCAGTACCACAAAACTTTTTGAAGCTTGTTTGCATCACATGGGAAGAGCTCTAAGTTGAAGTAAGAAAATGCTTCTTCTCTAATAAAAGTATTCATGTAGGAGATTATATCCATCCAACATTTCAAATTATTTTTCTCCTGTCCAGACAAAGTCCTAGACAATGACGTCTTCCATGCAGTTATAAAAGCAGCATCCACATGACAGGTCTCCATGCTGCTTTAATTGGTTCAGATAACATAGCTTTCTTTTAAATAGCATGCCTCTACTTTTTGTCAGTTTTTAAAAGGAAATATAATCTTTCAGATGAATTCATACTATGACTATAAGCCATTGAGTGGCTAAGAACCCTTCAAAAACTTGTTATAAAGATTTGGGAAGCCCCAGACTCTCGCAAAATTTATGTAGTAAATAATTTCTCATACTGTGTTTCCCACATGCATGGCATACTCTTTGTATTTTCAGTCATCTAAGGAACAATAGCATCACATGCTGTGGTACTCAGTTAACAGTCCAAAGAGTCACTTCTGCAAAAACTGCACAGACAGGCACGTGGAGAGAGATTCACATAGCAGAAAATTAAAGAAAAGCTTTCTAAGGGAAAATTCAGGTTAGAAAAATCAGATTTTTCCCACTCAATAGGGAAAGAAGCCAGTTGTCCAAAAAGTGCAAATGAACTTTATAATCTGAAAAAATACATTTCCTTAGGATTTCAGTGACAGAATTATATCTCAGTCACAGACACCCATAAGGAGTGATGGATGGATTATCTTCATGTACATTGAGGAGTCTCAGTTAAAAATACTTAAATTAACTCATTAGATCTGCAAACATTTGTAATATTTTTCTGTTTCATCTAATCTTTGTGCTCTGAAAACTTCATTTTCTGCTTTTGTTTCAAACTATAAAACGTGGGGGTGAACAATATTAGTTCATAAGTTAAAAACCCCTCATATTCCTTCCTAGAGGAAAATTGCAGATAATAAAAGTCAAAACACCACTAAAAATGCAACTTTAAGTGTAGGAAAAGCTGGGTAGTTGCTGCTGACTGGAATGCTAAGCAAGCAAGTACCCATCATTTTTAAAAGTTTAGGTGAGGGTGCAAACCAATAGGTTTACATAACATGAAACTACCAGTCAATTAATTTTTTTTTCCTCACCAGGGAACCACAAAATCCTTTTCCTAGAGCTGCCTTTGTTCAGTACTTAACCATTACATGGTCAAATAGAGATATTAAACTAATTTTCAATACGCTTACAGATCTTCAGAAAGCCCTATTGCTTTTAAATCATACTGCCTCATATAACTGAAAACAGGGTGGAGCAAATGGAAATTCCATATTTCCTAAGCAATAGAATTCCACACTGCAATTCTAAGCTAACTATCATTTAGTTGAAAAGGCAGTCTTAGAGTTCAAATTCTTTCATTCCACTTAGACAATGCCCTGCATTATATTCTTATAATTCATTTACCACCTTCCACAGGCCAATTCTGTAATACTTTTCAATCAAGTTACTGGAAAATGGAAAGCAGATAGAAACAGCACTGGACTGCATTTCTCTGACCCCAAAACCCTTAATTACTTAAGGAATTGTAGAATATCCTAAGCTGGAAAGGACCTACAAGGATCATTGAAGTCTACCCTTTGACCCTGCACAGGACAGGTCCAAGAATTACATCATGTGCCTGACAGCCCAAATGTTTCCTGAACTCTGTCAGGCTGGTTCTGTGACCATTTCTCTGGGGAGCCTGTTCCAGTACCCAAACATCCCCTGTGTGAAGAACCTTTTCCTAACATCCAACCTAAATGTCCCCTGACACAACTTCAGGCCATTCCCTTGGGACCTGTCACTGGTCACCCTCCTGAGAATTTCCACTGATACCTGAAATTTCGTTCATGTTTAGAGTAAATATTGTGTCTTTGGCAGTGTTAGCAAAAGGGTATCTTGCTCCGCAAACAGAGAAATTAACATTTCTAAGAAAAATTGTATATCTATCTTCTCCCAATGGAAAGAAAAAATGTGTGCTCCTGGAAATAGGCCTGTTCTTTGCACCTTCTGGTTCTCTAAACAATAAAGAAAAAGCCAACTTCATTTGCATCAGCAGAGTATCTCTTTTAGCAGCTGATTTTTCCTAGTGTAGTGTTGATCTAAGCAAAAATCATCACTAAATAAATAAATTGTGCCTCTTTCCCTTCATCTGCACGTTGCTCCTAAAATGTCCCATTTTTTTACATAATTGATCAGCGTTTTTTGGATGAATGTGTTTGCATAACTTTGGCAAACCAATGTGGATTTTTTCCTTCTCATGCTGGAGGGAACCATTTATTTCAAAGAGTTAAACAGCCACAGGGACCCTTGAGATGTTCTACATCCTCTAGCTGTGGTATGCACTCTGCTAAGCTTTGAAAGATACCCTATGCAGCAGCCCCTTTGAGGATATGACTATGTAAACCATTCAGACTCTTTTCCTACCTATACTAAAGGCCCAGTGTCTCTAGGAAAAAAAACCCTAACGATTCCTGTAATTGGAAAAAATTACTGCTAGAAAGAATCAACAACAGGAAACGACTGAAATGGATAGGTAATCCAAACACGTGCCTGAAATTCCATCATTCATAATATAACTGGTACAAATATTTTCAACAAAGCTCCACTGTTAGTCACACATACCATTGTTTACATTGTTGTGATGCTTAGATTGACACAAACACAACTGTACCTTAAGCCTGGAATATTTGTGGCATGATATAAGTCAACCCGCTGTCACATACCTGTTTATCTTGCTGCCTTTTAAAACAGAAGTGGGAGTCAGCAACAAAGATGCAGATTCCATATGTCCTGAAGTCCCAGAGCTGCATGGGTTTCTTCTAGAAACTGGGATCACTAAGTGAAAAATGCCATGAAATAAGCCCTTTAAGCACAATAGCCAAATTATTTTCTCAGTCAGTAACTGTAGCTCAGGAATATTTACTCTGGCATCACTCATTTTTCTCAGAAAACAGAAATTAGTAACATCCCTCATGTCACCATGATGGCATGTAACTTAATACTGTGATCTCTACCATTCAGTATATATTCGCAGCCACTTAGACACAGCAAAATATTTAGTTAAGTGTGTGTAGGAAAGATCTAATTTGGACAAGGTATATTAAACCTCACATTTCCATAACTGATTTACATTGCATTTCACTACTGAAAACAAGGGCTTGTCAGGCCAGCTGATCTCTGCTTCTTCATTTAAAGACAGATAACATTTCACAACCCCAGTCCACTAACTACAACATATCGTAACATTTTACTCACTTCTAAAAGGCTCCATGGAAAGTTACCAGCTTTATCTTGACAGTCAAAGGGCATTTTTAAATCCTCCAGTTCAGAGTCCTTTCTTAAGCCATCTGGTTCACTTTAAGTTCTGATACCCATTTTTGTTGTGCACATAAATATTATATCACTGTTACAGAGTAGGGACAGAGAAAACGTGAGTCGGGGAAGGAAAACCAATCAAGGATGAAGGTAAACAGCATGGGAAAAACAGATTCCCCAAAAAAAATTTAAAAAAAATAAAATTTCCTGGCAGAAAAATGCAGGCATAGGTTGTGTGAAGGGCAGTGGGAATCAAGGAATTGAGGGATCTAGCTGCTTCAACTGAAGATTTCTGGATGAAAGACATTTGCTGTTATTGGAAGATGAACAGAAGGGAGAGAATACAGAACCTCTGTAAAATGAATAGACCCAAAGGAGACTGAAACACAGCACTCCAAATAATTTAGAAAAAACAACACCGAGGGCAAACATTTCCTTTATATAACTTGGCAGGCCAGTGCTAAAAAGTGAAATGTGGATCTCTAGCACTTGGCAACACCACATGGCCAAAAAAGGCCTTGTGTGAATAATATGCAAAGCAACTGTGAGTTTTAATTCAATTTATAACAAAAATTATGAAAAGAAAGATCTTATACTTTGACAAATTTTAAACTATTTTTCCCATCTGTTTTCTTGGGGGTTTTGTTATTGTTGTCAATTTTTTTAAAAATTTAGTGAATATTGCATATCAAACACTAGCAATTATTTTTCTATTTCAAAATATCATTCAAGCAACATAGAATTAACAGCAAAATGCTCAGAATGTTCCCAAAGTCTTTTAGCAATTTTGCAGAAAGAGTACATAATTTTATTCTTTTCCTTGAAGTTCATCATACACTAAATACACTTAAAGAAACAGCAGTTAAGGAAAAAAGTTACTACTAAGGTTTGATACAGAGAGTTAAAAGCACATTTTAAAGAAAATACTCTAGTGTCCACCAAAGAGCAAATAAAAATTTATAATATGCAATCTTTTCTTCTTTGTTTGGGCTTTTCTTAGCAAAAGAAGTTTGTAAAAGGTTAAAAAAGGGAATTATTTGATAAATTACTGGAGAAGAAAATTACATGATGAACAACTTTCTACATAAATTTCTTAGCTAACCTCTACCTTCTTTTTCACCACATTTATTTCTGCAGATTAATAATTTCAATTTTTAGTTTAGTCAAAGGAGCTTTACAAGGTTTATGATTTTTTATGATGATCAAATATGAGAGAGGGATGAGTCAAAGATGTTATTTCTGCCTCTGTTCTGAATGGTGTTTTATCTAAAAATCTTCTTTTCAGGTACAAATATTATTCAATTATGAAAGACCACAGATTTCAACACAGCAAGAAATTGGCAGATTTTATGATCTGAGACAGGCAGACTTCTGAAGAAGCACCAATCTTTATTAGAAGATCTAGGAATTTGTGTCATTCTACCAGGTTTAATTGCTGCATTGTCCAATGACAAAACCTCTTGTTTAACCTGTGTTCCGTTCACCATTCCTTTGGACCAGATGATTCTATTGAAGTTTTCAAGATTTATCAGCTACAGGTAGCAAATCCTCACAAATGTTAGCCCTAAAAAAAGTTTGATATGCAATTCCAGCTTTTGCAACTCAAAGGAAAGAAACTAAAGGACCACAGGCTGAAAAGAATTGAAAGTGTAAAGTCACCAAAGTCAGGCCATTTTTAGGACCTATTGATCAGGAAACTATAGACTTATTCCTGCAGCTTTGCACCAGTTGTGGGAAAAGCCTTGGAAAAGAGCAAATGGAAGAACAGTCAGTAAACCACATCTTGAATCAAGGATAGCCAACATGGTCTCAGGAAGGGAAGGGCATTCATGCCTCACTTAGTTGCTGGAATTGTTTGAGCCTGTGGCTGCCAATACAAACATGGGGAATGCTGGGGATACTGTGCACCTGGATTTTCAGAAAACACTTGCCAGAATTCCTAACTGATATTACTCTCTAATGTGCAAAGCCATAGTCTAATTTTAAAAGGGCAAAGGTGCTCTTACAGAAGTAAAAGTCTGCCTCTTGAGCAGGAAACAAGACAAGCCCCTCTAAATTGCAGGTTGGTTTCTGATGTTAAGACTTGGCCTTATTAATAAGCTTACAAATGCTCTGTGAGATGAAATGAATATGTACCTTCACTTGAAAAGAATGAGTTATGATGCATCTTGAGGCAGAAATAGAACATCATGTTATTTAATATGAAGGCTTATTAACAAAAAAAATTGTCATTTTTCTAGTTTTATAAAAAAAGTAAAAAGTAAATTTCAGCATTAAATACTATTACCTCGAGTGGCACAGCTGTAATATAACACACAAAGCCACTAAAAAGCTTGCTAATATAAGCTTGAACACAGCAACAAAGTTTTAAGCCCAAGAGCCTCCAGGAAAAAATGTTAAGAGTAACTGTGAAGCTGTAAATAACAATCCAAATTTGGGTTGATCTGAAATGAAAGTGCAAAAAAAAATTTAAGGTGAAAAAAAAATTGAGGACTAGGAAAACAAACCGGCTCAACTGTTCCTAAATGTTGCATTTCCAAATAGTAGTAAAAAAAAGCGAGACACAAAGTTATGAAATAAGAAATTGGCAAAAAATCTCTTTTACTTACTGTGCAGTTGAAAGCACTTACTCAGAATAAAGAAAACACATATACCCTGCCATTTTCCTAGTCCCCAGAAGTCTGATTTGAACAATTGCACTAGAAGGGGTTCTTTTCTATACCATTTAATGTATTTTTTTTCTTCCATTGAAATTATTCTCCCCGAAGAAATGCATTTATATATTTATTTAGTTGGAGGAGGGGTAAAAAAAGTATTTCCTGATCAGTAGAAAAACATCCCAGTCCCCGATTTAATCATTATTTTATACCAAACAAATTTAGTTAATTTAACACTGACACCTTTAGATTGGACTAGAAGTCTTTCTTTCAATCAGAAAAATGTGAGGATTCTGTGCAAACCTCTTCAATAGAGAGGATAATCTGTGGTCTAGTGAATATCAGCCTTGGAGCACTCAGCATTTTAAGTATCATAATCCCTACTGGATAAAGACTGCTGTCCAATTAAGTTCCAGGCAAACTTGGGGAATCACTTCACATGGAATCACTTCACAGATTTCATCTGTCTGGTTATAAAGATCTACTCTCATTTTCCCAGGACAGATAATATGAAACTCTAAGTGTAAAGTACTAGCATTTTAACAGACTGGTCTAAAGGTATGGATTTTAAAGATGAATCATATAAGTAATTGCTTGATTTTTTGCAAAATCATAAGAAATTTTTTCTTTATCAACGTGTAAAATGAAGAAAAAAGAGTAGTCATGATACAATGGTGATAGCCAGAGACAATAGTATAACAAATGAAAAAACTTTTATTCTGTAATAATTTTGGAGATGATTAATTGGAATGTCCTGTACTCATTTTTGTAGGTTAAAACATCTCTTTGATTCACCGAAGAAACAAAATACTTTTGTTTCTAAAATGAAGGCCTTTTCTTAAAAAAAAACCAAACCCAACAACACTTGTAAGGCTTGATCCTGTAAAAATAAGTAGAGGTAACATAGGGGAGACCCAGCCCTGCTTGGATTTGGAGGATTATGCTGCCATCCAGTAGGACTTCTGCACAAGTAGGACTACTTCCTCTCCAGCTGTCACTACTAATAAGCAAAGAAAGAACCCACATTTCACCAAATCTGTAGCCTGATAATGAGATATTGAAAAATATCAGACAGAGGAAGGTGATTCAGTGTTTTGAGAGTTCCATACAGTAGCAACTCACATCTTTACATTTACACAACAGGATTAAATGAAACAGGAGTTTATATTGGTGATTCATTTGCATTTTGAAGATTTCCTTGAAATCCTTCTCTTCTGGTCACATTCAGCCCTCTGCCTCAATGTCTGCAGAAAGAAATAAGGCTATTGCCACAAGAGCGTGTGGCTTACTTCTCAAAGCAGTTTGCACAAATTCAGTACTGCCTTTATCATGCCAAACCCACAAAACTAGGATGGTGTAAATCAGCAGTAGGTGTTGAAAAAAAATAAAATATCATGTGTTGCCCAGTTATGCTACTACATTTATTTTTTTTCACATACAATCAACTACATGGGAATGAAACTTAACATTAAAATAACTTTTTGCAACATCAGGTTGGTTTTTTTTTAGATTGGGACTGCTGCCTCAAATTACAGTGAGTGGATTAAATGAATGAACAAAGTTCATGACAAGTTTTGCAGAACAGAGAAATGCAGTTACACCTACATCATGAAGTGATACAGTGTTTACTATTTGTTAATCATAAATCATGGATTAATTTAATTTTGCACTGTAATTACAGCACTATACTTTAGAAAGGCAAGACACTGTGATAATTTAGACACTAATTTAAGTACTAAGAGCCATGGCAAACTATAATTTTAGAGCATCAGGTCAACAAAAGCAAAAATGGCAAAAGATGATTTTAAGAAAGACTTTGAAAAACCTCAATGGAATAGCTGTGAATCCAGATTTCATTTAATACAAACCACTAATGCCTGAGGAGAAAGGGAGTTTCTTAGGATGGTCCTGGTTTTGGCACAGTGCTTGGTGTTCAGACAAGACAGTTGGAATATGTATTTTCCTGTAACAAAAACTAAATTGGCATAAATTTTGAAGACAGAAGAAAAACAGACACCACATTCAGGGTCTATATCTCAATGACTGAGATAATTGAATCAGAGAAGGGATGATGGCTTGAATCAATGTTTACAGTACACAGCAAACTGTGCCTGCACGTGAACAAATAAAGCAGAGTTAATAAAAAAAGTCTGCTTGCTAAGTCTTGGATTTTTTTTTTCCTTTTATATGTATTTGTCATTTGAAAGGTTCTTTTGTGCCATGTAATGTGGATGCAGATGGAGGAGGAAAGCAATTTTAATTTGTTGCAGTAAAACAACTCTAAGAGTATGTCTGCTTCAAAAGCTCTTGTCACTATTGCTAAGATTACTAACTATGGTAAGGTGCCTTGGATTTATAAGAGGAATATAGCACTGGAATCAGCAATAATTCCAAAAGTACATAATTACTTTTAGAGATGCTCCACACAACTCCAGTTCAAGAACCGCTGGATACAAAACCTGAGTCTTCACTCTATTTTGACATTCATAGGTACTAAGCACAAGCCTTCTGAGAAGATTCAGTGACACACTTGCCAACAGATTTTATTGCTAAAAGTTTTTCAAAACAAGTAATAAATTTAATATACCACTACAGAATATTCAATGTGTTTCTTGTAGTTTGAAAGGATAGGGAAAGGTCAAAAGTTTAAAAAATACTAATTTTCTACAAAGTTCTCTCTAAAATTAGCAACTTAATTTAGAAGCACAGAACAAATAACTGAATTACAGAAAGAGACATAACAGCTAGAAGTCATAAAGAATAAAAATAAAATACAAAGCCATGAAAGTAATAAAATTCATAGGAATTAAGGGAATGTCATGAAGCTGTGTTAGGGGACATTTAGATTGGACATAAGACTGGAACAGGCCTTGAGGAAAGTGTCACAGCACCAGCCTGACAGAGTTCAAGAAGCATTTGGAGAATGCTGTCAGGCACATGGTGTGATTCTTGGGATTCTCCTGTACAGGGACAGAAGCTGAACTCAGTGATCATTGTGGATCTCTTCCAAATCAGGACATTCTGTGATTGTATTCTGTGATTCCTTCTGTCTGAATTAAAATACAAATCTTATCTTGAAGTTAAATACATACATATGCATAATATATGATATGGATATGACATGATCTGACCTCATTACTTACCCCTTATTTCAGAGGTAATTATTTATTACCTCTGAAAGTGTCTTCATCACAAGTGCAGTTGTTTAGATGGGCTTCATAATGGCCAGATGCAGGGAGCCAACATCCAGCAACAGAACTGCTCTGAGAGGCCTAAAGTGCCAAAATTACTCTTTCAACTCAGCAAATCCACCAGTCTAGATATGTCCCATCTCTGTTTTCCATTTTATGCAGTAAATGAACCCAGTTCTTACTGTGCTTGAGACAGGGAGCATACTACATCTGAAATACTTTCCAAATACAGTCATCACCTCTTTGCAAAGAGAGTTGTTCAGCTTCTGAGACAGCTAAAATGCCCTGAATTACCTTCTCTGCCACCCTTGGCTTCTATGTAAGAATAAGTAGGACTGACACAAAAAAATTCTGCTAGGCATTAATCCCCTGTTGACAGAACTGTCATACTCAGTCAAGTACATTTGATGCAGATAACAATTTAGGCTCTGTAAAATACCAATGTTGATAGTTACAATTTTTAGCTGTCAGATTATATTCCTCTACCAGAAATTCATTTTCTACAAAAAAATTTTAACTGGTTCTCTGAATTATAAAGATAAAAAAGTGAAACAGGAAGATACTATGGACAAAGCTGCAATTACAGAAGGTCCTGGTGACAACAGCAAGCTCTGGAACTTAGCCCTTCTGGTTAATTATGATGTCATCATTCGCTTAATGCTCAGTGTTTACAGGGCTTTACCTCAGGACCTATCATTTATTCTATATATTAACATCTAGAACTATAACCATGATATAACCTAGTCATTGGAAAAGGCCACAAACCCTGCTATGGTATGTCTCAAGGCCAGTGCTGCAGCTTTACAGCATCTGAGATAGAACCACAAAAAACACATGGGTTTTGAAACTGAGGAAAGTCAGAAAAGCAATGCTAACTGGAGGTACTTTGAAGTAACTGGTAGCTCTGTACTTCTTTTGCTGTACACTTTAAAAAGTGTCTGCAAAGGATGCTAATTAATTAACCCATATCCACTCCACAGGAGACAAGTCATCCTACTGGAGATATGTCTCATTTAGAATATTAAAACGTATGGACTGAGGCTTAGATGTTAGGTTTCGCTTCCTTTTTTTCCCATGTGGAAAACCAGAAACAGATGTGGAATATCTGTTTATGATTTCTACTGCAGTGTATAGATCAGGAGGAGCGCCACTGAGTAAAGCCAGATTACATATAAATTATTTGCCTTGTAAATATTGCAGAGGATGTGGAATTAGAGCCCTGGAAGTTGTTTCAGACCACAAGATCTCCCTCTCTCCCTCTAACGTCTCAATAACAGACCATTCATATCTCTATTTCCAAAACGGAAGACATTATTCCCAGTCAGACCAAACCCTGCCCAGAAGCAAACAAATGTTTTTAAAGCTTAAAAAACATGACTTTTTCCTTCAAAGTCTCCCACAACTGTGTTATCTAGCCCATTACTAGAGAAAATGGATTTTAAAAAGAAAAATATAGTACTGGAAAGTCAAGTTCTTGCATTTGACAGAGTATTTGCTACTGCCCTTGAAATTCTTTCACTTCAGATACAAGATCTTGAAGGTGCCATATATGACATGTCTTGTTCTACACTATAAATTAACAGACCTCTAAATAAAATAATATACTAGCACTAGTAAATACACAGGAAAACTTCTCGACACCAATATATGTATAGGCTGATACGGGTGCCATTTTTTAAAGTCTAGGTATGCTCTTAAATAAATGTATTAATGCAGAACCGTATCTCTTCCTGGATCCTCCTGTGCAATTTTTTCCCCCTCCTACCTTTTGAAATTTACACTTGAAGTATTTTAAAACTATTATGTCAAGGGGGAAGACCTGAAAAGGTGGCTTCCCCTCAGCTGTTTCCCACTTGATACCTGGCCGGGCAGCCAGAGGAAAGGTGATCGGAGCTGCCTTGCACAACCATCTCCGTGTTACCTGCGCCAAGAGACACCCCTGGGGGGGTGGTCCACCGGAGCAATGTTTGAACAAGCTGAGCCCGCCGTGCAAGCGGTACCCGCTGGCCGAACAGCCCCTGGGCCGGCGCTGCTCCCGCACCCGGGGCGGAGGCTGTGGGGCAGCGGGGATTGCAGGGGCTATGTGAGCCGTGGGGGTTCCGGAACGCGGGGACAGCGGGGATTGCAGGGGCTGTATGGGCTTTAGGGGTACCGGGGATTCCAAAGCTGTATGGGCTGTGGGGGTCCCGCGGTGCACGACGCGGCCCCTCAGGCCCCGTGGCGGGCGGTGCGCGGGCGCCCTCTGCTGTCCCGCGGAGGCGGGTCCGGAGCTCCGGCTCCACGGAAGGCCCGGGGCAACGAGACTCGGAACACGGGTGGG